AAAGTCTAAAAGCTATCTTCATTTTATTGCCTTTTTTGGCCGACCACGTTTCCTGATTACTTGAGTTGATGCTTCATGTTTTTCCTTTTTAATATTCATAATTTTGTCACGCAATTCTTTCTTTTTTTCTCGGTCAATTCATTTTTGAGCTTTCATATCCTCAAGTTCCTTTAATTTTTGAGCAGTTTCCTTCAAATCTTCTGTAGTTTTTGGATCGCCTTATTTGGCTGAATCTATACACAACTTTGCAATTTTGACTTCTTCTTCAGTTGTAAGGACCTTTATTTTTCACTGCGCAAATTTCAAAATTTTTCGTAAAATCTGCGCAAATTTCAAGGTTCAAAAACAAGCCATTTTAAAAATGAATTTTAAAGCAGTTCCAGGTAACATTTTGGATTGGAACCATTTGAAAAATGTTAAGCAATGTCAGATCTACATTTTCTGATACCAAAATTTAATCTATACCAATGCATGCATCTCAAAATCAAAATGTAAAGAAATTTAAGTTTTGTATGGGAGTTTTTGGTAATAAATTATTAAGCTTTCTAGTGCCTTAAGACCACTAAAAATTATGAAAAATCATCTGTGCTTGTGTTCTGCAGACATTTCCCATTGATCGTCTGAATAGAAGTGCAATTTTCAGATATAATTTTAAAATTTTCGTTTTCATACGAGTGCGCAAATTTCAAGGTTGCGCAAATTTCAAAGTCATTTACCCTAAATTTAAGGATTTTTATTCTCGATTCACGAATGAAATTAAATTTAGAAAAATAAAATCCAATTAAAAACGATAAAATCAAAATTGTTTAAATTCAACATTGAACACCCCATTGAACCCCCCCCCCCCCATACACATGAAAATTTTCAAAAAATGAGGTCAGTTTGTTCAAATAATATTATTAAACGCCTGAATGACTTTTCATCATGTTGGACAAAATAATAATAAACATTGCCGTGTTCATGTGATATTGCAAGTTAGAGAGTAATCAGAGGTTTGTGGATAAAGCGCATTTTTAAGTGAGATTCGAAATTTAATGTCAGAAAATTCTAGATTTTTGAATGTTGAAAAAAATTAAGTTTTAAAGCTGACTAAGGCAGTGGTGCACAACCTTTTTTGAGACACGGTACACCTTGGTGGAAAGATAAACACAAAAATGTACACAACATTGGGTTCGTGGGATTTCTCAAAGTTTTTATCGGCACACGGGTTGGCCATAACTGGACTAAGGTTGACTAGAGCATTAAACACAATCATCTTCAGTTAATGTCGATGCCGGGCCAATGATTATTCAAAACTTTGATTCCGATTTTTACGAATTCTTTTTGTTCATGCTCATTTATGTCTTAATCCTAAAAACTCTTCAGACAGTCACCCTTAAACATTACATTAAAGTCTAAACTCAAGCATTTACATTTTTCACATATTTCTTCCCATATTAACCAACATTTACACAATTTTCTACTTCATTAGCTTCATTTATGCAGTAAAAAACTCACCACATCATCCAAAATAAACCCCATAAACATTCGCTGCAGTCGTAATTCACAAAAAACATTTTTGCATTCAAAATCACTGACCGTTCAAAAAATAACAATTTTTCAGAGAATATGAAACCTGACGATAATCGAAAAATAGAAAAAAGAGAGAGGAATTATACAGGTCATAAAAATTCATCATTTTGAATAGAATAAGCTTAAAAAAGTGTGCCCAATGACCTATAAAAAGTCCATTTTCATTGTTATGTTTATTTGCATCGTCTATGACGAAGGCAATTTTTTTTTGTGCTAGTCGAAACGAGAAGAAATTTTAATGATGCTGTAGTTTGGACATGCATCTCTCATATGCTATTTTGTGTGTGTGTGTGAGCTTGAATACGGAAAAAAAATTCAACAAAATTAAAATGAAAAGCATGCAAAATTGTTTCTTCTGCCTTTTGTGTTTTTGTGCTAGTCAAAAAAAATCTCTTTTTTGATTATTTCTGTGCAGTCCATGCAGAAACGAAAAGGAACTGAAAAATGTGGAACAATTTTTTAAATGTTCAAGGCACGTCCAAGAAACTTTTCTGAAAAATCCAAACTTTTTCTGGGACTAGCTTGGTGCTGATCACTTTTATGAATGTCCATCTCTTCTGGTAAAATTCCATGCAGCCCATCAGCACAGTTAAACCCGACGCAATCCTCATAAAACCAATCAAACATCCAAAATACCCACTCAGTGGCAATCGTCGCACGCAATAATTGAATGAATCTTCATTCAGCTTCACTATTAGACTCTTCATTGATCTGCTGCTCTTCTTCCTCGCTGTTCACACACGAAAAAGTTGTTGACCAATAAACATGAAAGTTTGAACGAGTATAGACTCAAAATGTTGATGAACTTTCATGTTGACATACATCAAGCTATGCTTTAGACTCATTTTATGACTGTGGCGCTAAATAAGCTTGCAAAACAGGTACAATAAAGGAAATCTAAACAACACACTGTGCACATACAAAATGGAAGTAGAAGTGAAGGAAAAATTTGAATGAAAATAGCTGAAATGAGAATGACGAGGATTTTTTTGGTGGAAGGAAGGAGAAATGGAAGTGAAGCTAGGGAGAGATAGGAAGAAGCAACAACAAAATAATCAAAAACATCACGATGAGTGAGCAGAAAGTTTGCAAATTTAATTTCGCTCCTCAACAAAAGGACGTCCTTGGAAGTTTTTTGTGCTGATTTGTTGCTGAAGCTTGTCTTGAACTTGTCAGTTGACATTTTGTGAAGCTTCTGGTTGAATTTTGAAGAATTTCTGTTTAAGTATTGCTGGACCTAAATTCAATTGTTCCGAATCGAGCTTAAATGCTTGATACTGATAAGCTTTGAGGAAGCATCCATTTCAAAATTCAAAAGGGATCAAGAATCAGTTCTAATTTCCCTAAGGGGCAGCTTCTGTGAAGGGGAAATCCATTGCACAAAGTAATAAGAAAACGAAACTTGACAAAAGAATTTACAGGCCAGTAATTCCTCCTCGCGACTTTCTCAACGCACTTAAATTAAACATTGAAAAGTTTTTCCTTTTTTTTTGTCTTTTGTTCTTCACTTCCTGTTAATCCTCCACCGTGTCATATTCAAAGAAGGCAAAAGACAATTTTTATTGTAGTCACGTTTTGAAATTATTTTATGATAATGTGGATCCCTATTAACGCAACACAGGCACTGTCTAAAATACCTTTTCAATACTCATTCACCAACACATACGCATGTCTAGTTGATTTGCAATTTTCACCTTCTCACGTGTTTTTATAATGATTCTACTTCCATTCTCAACGTCTGTGTCAAAAAATTTCATTTTCAATATTTTCGATACTCAACAGACTTAGTCACAATGGAAATCATTTTCATCTCAATAATATACATACACAGGAATTAGATAGGAAGGCATTCAGTTGACAGTTAGATAACTTATTGAAATTGTATGTGAATATTATTGTCATAAATTGATGAAGTATGTGACAGTGAAGCGAAATTCTGATAACGATACTTTGATGGCTGTTTATTCATGTTATTGTAAATGTTCATGCTACATGTTGAACAAAAACATTAGTGACAGAAGATGTCAGATAACAACAGCCATACTTGATTTTGTGTTTTTTAAGGGATGGAAAAATAATTTTAGGAGAAAATTTTTAAAATTTCCCTGAAAATTTCTTAAAGCTAGTCAGCAAAAAAAATCTTTAGCGTCATAAAAAAAATATTTACAGCCTCCTCAAAATAAAAATAAAAGTCCTATTAATCACAGACAATCTTAATCGCTCATTAGTCATCATAAAAATTTAATTCATTAACCACCCACTTCAAAATCGTCAGCAACTTTATTCCATTAATTCACATCAGTTTCACTCAATTCTCTTCAATTCATTCCATCGTCACATTGCCATTATCGTTATTGTAATGAATAAATCTTCTCTCTATTCTCTACATAGTTCTCAAACTCTCGACGAAACCAAATTATAGTTGAAATCAAGCTCACTGTGTGATATCTGTGTAATATTTTATTCATTAAATGAAGTAATCTAACAAGAAGTGATATAAATTTAAATATTTGAATGAATTTGTAATGTGAATGGATGTGAAGAAGAGGTCTGGAACTGGAAACTTTTAAATGGTTCGCACTGATTGCTGAAGTTTTCGACTGAGAATGTGAATGATGTGGAATGTTGTGGGAAGATTTTTGGGTACTTAAGAAAATTTATGCAACTTGAGACAAATTATGTGCAAGTTGAACAAAATTTGATGTAACTTGAGACCAGTTATGTGCAAGTTGAACAAAATTTGACGCAACTTAAGATTAATTATGTGCAATTTGAACACAATTTGTTGCAACTTGAGATTAATTATGTGCAAACTGAACATAATTTGATGCAACTTGAGACAATTTATGTGCAAGTTGAACAAAATTTGATGCAACTTGAGACCAGTTATGTGCAAGTTGAACAAAATTTGATGCAACTTAAGATTAATTATGTGCAAGTTGAACACAATTTGAGATAAATTATGTGCAAGTTGAACAAAATTAGATGCAACTTGAGATTAATTATGTGCAAGTTGAACACAATTTGATGCAACTTGAGATCAGTTATGTGCAAGTTGAACAAAATTTGATGCAACTAGAGACCAGTTATGTGCAAGTTGAACAAAATTTGATGCAACTTTAAGAAAAACTTAGAAAACTAGATGCAAATTGTGATCAAAATGATCCAAGCTGATTGTGACTTGATGCAAATTAGAAGTTATTTGAAACACGTTGACATAAAATTGATGCAAGTTGAGAGAAACTTGATGCGAGTAGTTGAGACAAATTTGATGCGAGTTGTAATAAATTTGATGCAAGCTGTAATGAACTTGATGCAAGCTGAGAGAAATTTGATTCAAATTTAGATAAATGAAATTTGATGCAAGTTAAGTAACTTTATTGAGATCTCCCCAACTTCACCTCCCTTGACAATAATTTCAACAGCTTTAAAAACTTTATCATGTTCCATCTCTTCAAAAAATTGATTTAAATCCGCCCATCCAGTGTCTCTCTCACTTTTCATACATAATTAATTCCGAAATCAGTTTTGTGGTATTCATTTTCGTTTTCAGTTTTACGGTTTCGCTTCATTTGAGTGGCAGTGAGAATTGCGACAGTGGGAACCAGCCATGAATCAATTTAGCATAATTCTGTTAATTTCATTCGCAAATATTTTTCAATTCTTCATTGGTTTCAGCGAATGTCGCCGCATGATATGGCAACAAAGGACGAACATTGGTGATGCATTAAATTGGGACGGAGATGAGCTTCCATGTTCAACTGACTCATTACTCTTTCCACAAAAAAGTTATGACATCATTAAGTTGTCTAATTTCACAATGAAGGAGTTGATTCTGCCCAAAAGTGGCGGTTTTGTTTTGGATTCAAAAATGTCACTCAATTTTCGTGAACGGGACACAAAATGTAAGAAAAATGAGATGAGGTCATTTAAAAGTGTCATTCAAACGCCATGGCTGATGTCCAGTAACTGGCAGACAACACATGAGAATGGAAATGGAAAAGTCATGACTGCAGCTATGCCACACGATGAACGAATTCCATGCGACAATGATGAAATCATTTTTCCCATCAATAATTCATATGTCGTTGATCTCCAATCAATTCCATTAATGACATTCAAGAGGATTGCCATTGATGGACGTTTAATGACATTAAATGAATTTAAAGACTTTCTATTCACGACATACGGTCAATCTTTATTTAAAAACATCGACAATATACAATTCATTGAGAATGAAGATTGCAGTTCCATCAAATGTCAGCTATGTCATCGCAAAGGTGATTCACTGCGTCAACAGCTTTGTGAGAATGAAAAGCCATTCTGTCAACCAATTCCACATTGCAGTGATCCAATCAAGCCAATTGGACATTGTTGTAATGAATGTGGTGCACTTTTTCAAATGAAATTACCCAACAGTGAAAGGATATCGACTGGGATCAATAGCTTTAATCTTGATGATGTTAGGGGCGACATATACAGAGGTAAGCAAATAGTCAGGAATTGATGAATGAGCAGATGTGATTGATTGAAAGAAACGGCGAAAGTTCAAATAAGTCTGCAATTTTAATTGCCTTTGGCTCAGTTGATGTAACTTCTAATTGCTTTGAATGTCTAGATTGCATCCTGTTTATAAATATTGAGCAACATCACAGACTGCTCATCTGATTTTAATTCCCGTTTCATCATTAAATGTTGTTGATATTTGAATCCCTTTTCAATTGATACAGCTAGAGTTGGTAACTGGTTTATTTTGCTAATCATTTCCGCATGCTTACAAGAGTTTTTGTCATCTATAACTTGCTACATCATCAATATCAGGAGCTAATAACTACGAATAGGTAAATTTTCTATTTAAATGGTGTCAGAGACCACGAATTGGTGCTTATCAAGCACCTTATCTTCTTGATTAGTGCCAGAATATTTGATATTCAACCAGTCAATAAATCTGAACAAGCCATCTCTGGATCAACCATTTTAATAAAGAACTAAATTCTTCCAACTATTTTATCCTCATAATCTGCCATTTTCTGCCTCTTCTGGATCTCATTAAACTTTTTCCATTCCTATTTTTCTGTTTACTCAATTCTCATTCATCCATGCCATGGCAATTCATTTCAATCGTTCATTTCTATTTGCATAAAGTGAATGATTGAGTAAAAAGGGCAGAAAAAGTCAATAAAGCATCTACAACTATCAGATCTGAGTTCAATAATTTATTGATTTCTTCTTATTTCTCTTTTTTGCATGCAATTCCATTCACTTCCCCGAAAAATGTAAAATGAATTCCCGTAGCTATCAATTCAGCACTATCAACAGGTATTGTTGATGAGAACAAGATCGCTTATCATATCAGTGTCACAACGGAAGAGAATCAACTGTATTTACAGCTGGGCAAGATCAGAAAAAAAGGGAATAAATATTCAAATTCAGATTTCTCTGCTTTTAATAACTTAATTGATATGATTCCTTCACTACATGATAGCTAATAATAGTAAGTTTCTTTTTAACATTCATTTTTCAAAATGGCGACTTATTAAGATAGTTTAATTAACAAATTAATATTTGAAATCGATTTTTCTTTGAAAAGAAAGCAAGATAAATGTTTGGAAGCTTGACAAAAGTTGTAGAGCTTGCTTGTTTCTATCATATGATCAAAATAGATTTTATTAAAAACGAGTTATTTTAGTTAAATTAACTGAAAACCAAATTGAATGTAAAATGTATTTTTAAATCAAAACTATTAACCTTAATCGGTCAAGAACAATTACTTGATATCTAAAGAGTCTTTTACTATTTAATTTACATTCGAAAAAGGCTTAAAAGTAAGTTAAATTAACTATAAAAACAATGAAATTTAAGTTGAGCAACAAATTTTGCTCTTATTTGCTCACAAATTTATAATTTTAAAAACCGTTACAAAATTTTTGGTCAAATTTTTTACTATAATTTAATTTTCTCTGCTTGTCTTGAACAAAAAGTAATATTTTTATTGCAATATGATAAACATTGTTGAATTCTTTAGTTTGAAATGAAAAAATCAGTAGACGAATAACACAGCAATGACTTATGACTAGTTTTGTAAAACTCATCATAACTTGGTTAATTATAGTAGAATTGAAAATTTTCTCTCACAAACTTAAAGAAAATTACATATGTAACCTTTTTTGTGAAGAAAGCTAGTTCCTAAACTATTTCCTTCATATCAAAATTTCAGCTTCAACATTTTAAAGCTGAATTAAGCTAACTTACAAATCCGCCATTTTGTATATTTTAGACAAAACTTTTAATGATCTGATTACTTAATTATCTGGTGAAAAAATCGTTATGATTAATGAAGTATTCGCAGAGATATTACATTTGCAACATGGTGTAAAATCGAATTTCCTCAAAATTGTTCGTGACGCTTAGCACTTTAAATTAATTTTTAATTATAATACAATGTCTAAGAGATACTTGTTATACACCAAAATATAGGTCTTGGCAAGGACTTTAAGAAAAACACAAGTCTTAAATACATATTTCGCATTATTGATTCAAAAATTATAAATTATTGTTAAGCGTCACGAACAATTCATTTTTGATCTTGCCCAGCTCATTATAGTCGATCGATATGAATATGATGAACACAGCACACGATTAATGAAACATTTGAGGAAAGTTTTGCTTGATAAGAGGTATAAGGGTGAGTATAGAATTGATGTGGATTTTATAGTTTGCAGGTTGGTTACTGAAATGTGGGACTGTGTCCAGGACATGTGATAAGATACCAAATTGGATGTAAATCAGAACTAGCAGAAGTATTGAAAAGAAACTTCAATTAATTCTCAGTTTTACAGCCTTAAATGAAGACACAGTGACAGTCCACATTCCATTCCATAACTTACACAAGCCAGGACAACAGCAAATACTTAACGCATTCCATCTCCAATTTTTACAGACCAATCAAAATTTTATTTCATCTCTGGCTTGCCATTTACGCCCAACGAGAGTGGTCACATTCTATCATTCATATTTGGGACATTTTTCCTTGTGACTTTGTTTATGACACTGATTTATATCGTCTATTATGATGACAGACACATTCCACGCTTGATGGCAATGATAAGAAATCGTCGCTTAATGCTTCATTCTGATGTAATTTTTGCCCGCTTTGATAACACATCACACGCGAACGAGATGATGGCCTCGGCAATGTCAAATCATGACGATGATGACGATGCTCATGGAAGTATGGAAGTAGATTTACATTTTGGTACGGATCAAAGTATCGAAAATGTCAATCAAGCCTTCAATAATCCCATGTTTGATGCTACTTCCAATATTCGTGATAAATCAAGAGACGAAAGTATCTGAAAGGATGTTGATGATGGCAGTGGAGATGGAAATTACGGCAGAAGTGGTGTTAGAGAAGCAAAAGTTTAAGAGCAACAAATGACCGAGAAGCACATGCTTTCATAAGTTTGCAATCCCAAGCAACACAATCGTTGACCTAAATTCTTACAAAATTTAAACAAATTCTTATTTATATCCCATAAAATGTGCTCTACATTACACACATTAAGTAAACGATAATTAAGTTACCTTACAACACCTCACCCCAATTAAATCCCCCTCATCTCATTAAATCCATACCCGTCGTAATCCCCATGAGCCGTTCTGTCTCAGACATAAAATTTCCTTCGTGTAAAATCACCTTGCCAATCGCCTGATTAAATTTTCATATAATATAATCATCAAAGTAATGAGAAAATGTTCATTATGCAAAATCATGTCAGTAGTTAATTAATGAATGGAATCGATTGACATTATCAAATGTTTTACAAAGATTAAGAAATTAATTTGTCATTTTGTCAATTACAATTAGTGAGGAAATTTCTTTTTCGAATGTCTAATTAAATTAATTATTCAAAGGAATTTGCTTATTGTGAAATTTTGTATTATAAATTATTGATTGTACACGGTTGTGCTTGATTGCTGTGAGAGAATTGATTTGGAAGTTGATAAAATTGAGAACTTAGAGGGTTTAAGACGTAGGAATAGGTTTTAGTAATTGTTGTTCTGATTATCGGAGTCCAAAAAGTACAACCTTGTGTATATCACAGCCTTACCAGAGAATATGACTAAGAAATACTGACCTTAGTTTATACCAGTGTTGTCCAAACTTTTTTGAGTCACGGCACACCTTAGTGGTAAGCCATTACCAAAGTCGCACACAGCATGCGGCTTGCGTCATCTACAAAATATTCCTAATACAAACCGATGTGCCGCAGCACACAGTTTGGACAACACTGGTTTATGCTAAGCGCTAGTTTGATTCTTACAAAATCATTATCTCTAATTGACGCAGTAAGATTTCAATATCTGTCAACAATACTCCTGAAATCAGATTAATATACCCAAGGCCTCATCCCAAACTCCCACCAACTCAAATCCCTCAACAACAAAACCCACCATTCTGTAAATAACATTTCACTTCAATTTTTTGAGGTTAAATATAAACTTTGTAAAGAAAACTTTGTGTTGAGTCTGCAAATAAATTAATTTAATTTTGAATAAAATTCATTGAAAAAATCAATATTTACTTTTGAACTCCTCCAAAATCTTGATGAAAATTTACGAAATCGGAATTACAATCAATTAATTTTATTTAATTTTCTACACATCCACAGAGGCATGTGCTTAAGTAAAATGCAATTATTTACTTATGACATTATCTCCATTAAAGCGTGTACAAATGGAATTATAAAGTTTAAAATTGGATGTGCTATGCAACAAGGAGTTTTAAGGGGGGCTGTGTGGATGTTAGGGGGTTGTATGGAGGCTATGTGATGCAGGCAACAAGACCTCTTATCATTCAAGAGCTGTGAACTTGGTTGTCGTGGAGCCTTAAAGTGGATTTGGTTAAATTGAATTGACTAAGGTAGTAGTGGTCAACCTTTTTTGTGTCGAGTCACATCTTGATGGTAAGCCATGACTAAAATCTACACATAGCATACGGTTAGTGGGATTTCCCAATTTTTTTGTGGCAAACTAGTGCCGTGGCACATGGGTTGGTCATCACTGGATTAAAGATTAAAATGTCGTATTTGAGGTTATGTAACATCCACATGATCCTTTCAAACTTTTAAAATGACTTCAATTTATTTCAATTTATTGGCAATTTAGTTCCAATAAGGTAAATACATCTTGTACCTGCCCAAAGATAACACAATTATCCCACCTTAAATAATAATGAAATTACATCATTTATTGCACAAAATCAACTTTTCTTCACCATAAACCCTCAATCTTCTGCCCCCAAATGAAAATTTACACCCATAATCCTTAAGAACCTCCGCAATGAATATCCTAAATGCTCACATCCAAAAATAAAATTTACGTTCAATTATCTGAGAAAAAACCCCAAAACAGTTCCCAAGATGGCAATAAAACTCTTTTTTATTCAATTCCATCACATTAATTTATTTGCAGACACAAATTTTTTTAACTGACGATGAAGAAGCTTTTAAGAAATCATGTTTAAAAATATTTTGATCCTCCATGTGTGTGTAAAGGAATTTTTCAATCTTAAACTGATGTTTTCTTTGTGAAAACAATTACGCACGTGGAATCCTGGTTGATGAGGATTTGTAGGGAGGTGGGAACTTTGTAGTTTAGTCTTCTGGGTTTGATTCCTTGTTAAATATTGGAGAAAACATGGTCAGGGATAAATCAAGCAAAGCAAGATGGCAGTTGTCGTAGTTCAATCAATACAAACTCTTTGATATGTCATAAACTTTGTTTATAGCTTCTAGTATCATTGTAATAACTTTATGGTCATCAAAAGAATGTTCAATTCGAATCCCTCATCTGCATCTCCCAAGTACATCATAAATCTTTGATTTTTGGTCCTGTTAAGACCTAAAACTCAACTGTCCACCAAATCATCTTTTTTTCGAGGTTCACGTTCAATTTTCCATTAATTCCTCAAAATTCCCCTCAACTTCATCAGAAGTTCCTCATCCCACTCAACATTATCTTACGCACAGGTTCCTATCTTCAGCTTCAAATATTCTTGTCATCTACTTTTTATTCAATTTATTCTTCCGTGTATCCGTATTGAATGCGGATAAAGAAGATGCGAATAAAAATATTTTCTTTTATGTCTCATGATGGGATTTCTTACTTTATTAGATTTTTTAACATATCTAACTCGTTATCATAAATTCCCCAACACTTACAGTTCTCTTTATTCATCGACATTTTCTTCATGAAAATTGATAAAATTTATATTATGAGGATGTGTATGGAGATGCTATACAAAATGTAATAATAACAATATCGCAGAAGTATTTCAGGTAGCATTTTGGAATGAAATGAATTTAAATCTATACTACCAACTCGAGAGCTCAAGTGAGTGAAGAAAAATTATGTAAAGATTTTGAGTAGGAGGTGAGTAAGTTGGATTTTTTTGTAAAGTCTAAGGCGCATTTTATTTTAATTTATCTAAACTCTTTCGAATTTGTGTCAAATCTTTCATTATTATCTCAAAACCCTCTCAATTCTCTCAAATCTTACAAAATTCTCTCGAATCTATCAAAATCAGCTCCGTTCTCTCAGATTTCTCACAATTCTCTCAAATTTCTCTCAATTATTTCAAATTTCTCTCAATACTGTTAAATTTCTCTCAGTTCTCTCAAAATTCTCTCAAAATCATCTCAGTTTTCTCAAATTTCTCTCATTTCTCTCAAATTTCTCCCATTACTCTCAAATTTCTCTCAAAGTTCTCTCAAAACTCTCAAAATCATCTCAATTCTCTCAATATTTCTCTCAATTCTCTCAATATTTCTCTCGAATTTCTCTGAATTTTCTCAAAATTCTCTCAAAATCATCTTAGTTTTCTCAAATTTCTCTCAAAACTCTCAAAATCATCTCAGTTTTCTCAAATTTCTCCCAATTCTCTCAAATTTCTCTCAACTCTCTCGAATTTCTCTGAATTTTCTCAAAATTCTCTCAAAATTCTCTCAAAATTTTCTCAAAATTCTCTCAAAATCATCTCAGTTTTCTCAAATTTCTCTCAATTCTCTCAAATTTCTCTCAACTCTCTCGAATTTCTCTGAATTATCTAAAAATTCTCTCAAAATTCTCTCAGTTTTCTTAAATTTCTCTCAATTTCCTCCCACTCCTCCTTGTTCCTATATCTATTCATCCTCCCTCAGGACATGCCAACCCCATCAACACATCGCTCATAAAACATAATCGAAAAACAGTGTAATGCATGCTATCAGTAGAGACTCCAAGTCTACATAGATCCATAGCAGCACATATACACAACATAAATATGAGCATATACAAAAATACGGATCATCTGGGATATGAAAAATTATGTAACCCCATTACCATTTTTCTTTTTACTCCTCAAATCTATGCAAATTCCGTTCCTTCTTGTTACTGAAATCGTTATTTCCACTGCTATGTGTTTCATATCCTTTAGTAAAATCATTTCAATTCTTATTCAATCAAAACTTGAGACTACATTTGTGAAGAAAAAAAATTACAATGATTCTTGTAAGCTTCTGGAATTTTTCTTTCTTCTAGGTGTGCAATGGAACTGTCCCTTGGGGGAGTTTTGGATGGAATCATTTTGATGATCTTTGGTAGTTGGGGATGGAATGCTAGGGTGGGTATGTTGTTGAGATTTTAAGGGCTTTCTGGACAAACATTAACTGCAAATTTTTATTTTAAAAATTTATGGGGATAACAACATGATGAGAATCGGTTTTTATGAGATTCCTACAAGATTCCTCCCATTATTCAACAATTACCACTCGAAATTGATACAATCAATCGATAATAGGAGGACGTCGTTCTATCATCGCAACCCCTCTCACCAAAATCTATCCTCATCATGTTGTTATCCCCCTCAAACACTTTTCCCAAAAAAAAATTCTCCATAAAATCACAAGGAAGTAAGAAGAATTTCTGCAATTTAAAGCATGTCTGCAAGACACAAAGCACAAACTGATATGAAGACTAAGTAAAGGATTACAAATGAATGTGAATAGCAAAGAGAAAGATGGAGTGACGTAAAGATAACAAATTCTTGTGATGCTAAAAGGATAATGGTTGGATTGATATTTGTTACATTCTGATATTATATGTCGATTTAAATTCAGCATTACCTTTTGTAATGATGGGGAATTGTAAATGCATTTTATGAAGAGCTTTGTGTACAATTTGAATTCTCATTCTCTTGATGCTGTGTTATTTTTCTAGGAGCTTTGCTGATTGCGCAACGGGATGTGGATGTATGATTGCTGTATTTGGTTTTGTAAGCTGTAGATTTTTTTGAAATATTACAAAGTTTATTATTTTTTTTTGAAAGAGCTTGAAGTTGAAATGAAATTTTGATGAAATTAAGTCAACTCAACTGGGGTCGTTCATTTGTTGCGTAATTCAAAAACCTTCATTCTAAAACCGTTACGTAATAAGTGAACGACCCTGTAAATTATCAATTAAAAAAGTTTTATTAAAAAATTGAATTTTCGTGATTATAATTTTTTAAATGATTATATTTTGGATGTTCGAGCTTCAAGCTTGAGTCTGGATTATTAAACAATACTCAATACAGTTGAGACTCGTTAGATGTTCAGTAGTCCTGAAAAAAGTAAAATAAATATCAAATCTTTATCTTGAATCATAATAAATTGCTAACATCTTGTACTGAGCAGTTCAGTGTCATATCTGAAGCATCAAAAACGCCTTTCAGTGCCTTCATGATTTTTGATCTCCATTCATTGAATCTCTGTTCACCTTCTTGGACTTTATTATTGATTTCTATCAAATTCTTGTCCATTTTTTCCATCAATTTGTTTTCGATTTTTTCAGCTGCTTTATTAATTAACTCAATTCTGTCTTCATATGTGGTTTTTGTATCTGATTCTATCCCTGTTGTTAATGCTCTGCTGATGCTGATGCTTTTGTTGAATTCTTCAAGCTTTTTGTCGACTCCTTCAACAGCTTTCTTTACAATCACAACTTCTTCTTTAAGTTCTGCGTAATTTTCATTGTTCTTAGCAAAGTTATCTTTAAATTCAATTAAAGCTTCTTTATTAAAATTAGAGAAACTTTTTTTTAAGCTTGAAATTTCATCCTCAACTTTTATGACTGTATGACTTATATTTAGCATATTTTCAGTCAAATTTGAAATGTTCTCATCGACTTTTTGAACATTTTTGTTGATTTTTAATAAACTATCGTTAAGTGATATGCAATTTGTAGTTTCAAATAATTTTTCATCAAGGATTTTTTTTAATTTTTGAAGCCTAGGCTGATAGAAATTGACAAACTTCGAGGCATTGATCTTATTTTCCAAATCTTTGAACTCTTCTTTAAAATCATTTAAATTTATAGATTTTGATTCTGAGTTTAAGAATTTAATTTTTTGGTCTAGGCTTGAATAGTCTGAGTTGTTGCAGATTGGTTTAAGTTCTTTTATGAGGTTCTGAACTGATGTGCGATCTGATGCACCTTTGTTAATGCAAAAGTTAGAAGTAAGATGCAACTGCTTCAGCTTTGTCAAAGAATCAAATAGTTTAGGATCAATGTGACTGATTTTATTATACTGAAGATTGAGATATTGTAAATCAGGATTAAAATCGAACAATCCTTCCTCTAATATTTCTACATGACTACCATAAATAATCAAAAATTCAATCAATTTCGGAAATGGCTTCAAGTCTGATTGATGAATTTCTTTAAATCCGGCATAATCAAATCGAATGCCTTTGAGATTTTTAAAAATTTTATCTAATCCACGTGGAAAATATGAAATTGCTACTGAAGCAGTATAAAAATAATTCAAATTATCGTTGGTGTAACCACTTTGATGACTTCCTGTTGCTAAGTCAATGTTTGCTGTTTCTGGTGAGTTTATCGTTATTCCATTCGAAACAAAGCAAGAGTATAAATTTCCAGCTATGCTCCAACTGTTATACTTATACTCGCACTGTATTGTGGCTGATTCTAAAGAGTCAAATGAAAGTACCACGAAGAAGAAGAGAAAACTAAAAGAAATGAGAAGAATGACTTTAAAAAATATTCAGCCATTAATTTCATTAATAACGACTTACATTACTGATCTAACCATTTTATTTAAACTTTCAAACTTTTTAAAGATTTTGAAGAAATTCCAGTTTTTCAAACTTAACCTTAAATGTCCAAGCAATCTTAAAATACTTTTAAATACTTAATGATCAACAAGCAGCTTCAAACTGATCAAACTACACCAAATTCAGCTCTTTTATAGCATTTCTTTCTCGCGATTAAAGATGAATGTTCTCACGATGATAACTTAAGTCTGGATTAAAAAAATATTCACACGATTGAATTTTTAGCTGGAAAAACCAAGTTATTGATAAATTTTTGTCAAGCTCTTATTTAAAGAACGATAAAAATAATTTTTGCGACCATAAACATCCGCAATGTTTTTAAATGATTACTGAATTATGATTTATATTTCATTTTTAGTGGATATGAGTAGATATAGTGAAGGTGCTGCGAATAAATTGATTGAGATGGGCTGGGCATGTTAACAGACGCCCAGAAGGCTCATTAGTGCTGAAAGTAACAACAGCTGAATTTTTGGATGGTAAGAGATCTCGAGGTAGACCGAAGAACTCATGGAATGGCTGTGTAAGCAACGATGCAAATGTGCTAGAAATTAGAAACTGGCAGAAGTTGTGCCAGATAGAGCTTTAGAGCATAGACGAACACTGAATGCGGCAATGGGACCACGTGCGCCTTAACCAAGGAAGTAAAGTAAGTAAGTATGAGTAGATAGGCCTGAGCATAGGGCTCGCGTTGAACTGGTTATGTGTGTATAACGGATAGCCGAAGTGAGATAAGTACCTAGGTGGCTGAGTGGCAGGGAACTCTGATCGAGTGGTCAGAAATCGGTTCTTTTGAGGTTGTGAGTTCGATTCTCATCAAACCCGACTTATTTTACATTAGTATACACAATGAGCAGTTTATAGAGATTATTTTGAATGTGCGAAAATTATGAAGCAAGTTGCTTAAAACCAGAGCTCGAAAATTTCATCGACTTCGAGCTCAGTTTAAAGACTCAAGAATATAGAGTGATATCTAGGCAAATTTTCCAATACGAGAGTAAGACCTCTTTAGTCGAAAGGCTACACAGCAGACCGAAATTCTTTAACTTCTTCTATTTATATGAAAAAGTGAGTTCCAATCCCAACAGAAGTTGACTTCTCATTATAGTTTCAAAGTGACCAGGATTAGCTTAATTCTCTCTACACAAAAGTCATCCAAGCTCAATTTTAATCACTTAAAAACACATGAATAATGCTCATTCAAATCCATAAAGCTCAGGTAAAGTTGCATGCTGAATAAACAATTACACTGTTAATCCTTTTTTTATGAAAGCGTTAATGAAAGGCAGTCAGGTGAAAGAAAAATTCTTTTGAATTGCAGGAAAAAAATGGTTCTGATTGCAGTTGAAAAAAGGTAAATTGTTGCTTATTAAAAGTAAAGCATGCTTTTGTGGCAGCTGTAAAAATAGCACTTGGATTGTAATTTTTGTTGGATGTTAGTTCAAAAGGATGTAATTATTTTTGTGGAGTTTTTATAAAAATTCTGAGTTTCCCTGACTTGGATGTTGATCAATTTGAGTCCAAAAGCTGTAGATAGTATGAATGACTGTGTGAAAGATCATTTAAGAAAAGGCAGGTCAGAAAGGATGGTTAAATATGGATAATGTCTAAAGGGTAACTGAAGTAGTCGATTGATCAAACGATTAAGGTGTCTGGATGAAAATTGAAAGTTTTTCATCATAAAGGTGAGAGTTCGAAACCCACCTTTATAGATCGTCGTTCAACAAGTTACCTTTGAAAGCATTAGATGAACATGTAGCACTGACCTAAGCTAATGAAGATAATCATGATGTCCACGATGTGTTATGTCCATAAATGCCTAAACTTAGTCGCATTACAATATCATAGCTGGCAAAGAAAGCTAACTTTAAACAAGGTTATAAAGCAATTGTAGCTATCGTGTTAGGACTTTTACTTGACGATTTGATAGACGTCATTTATAGCAGTCCCCCAAATCAATTAACACAAAAATTAACAAACTCTCTGATGAACAAACGTCCCTTCCAACTGCTGATTTCATTTCAGCCGAAAAAAAGGCTTTTTAAAGCGTCTACTTAATTTAAATGCATTCATGTGAATGAATAAAATGAAACAAAATGAAATCTACACAAAAAAAACATATCAAAATACAGAACATAAATGTGTTTGTACGAATGTCCTGTCAAAATGAATGAAAACACATAAATATGCGTTGCTATAGCTTTGAGATAAAAAAATATATATAAATGCTTTTCAATAAATTTCAACATTATGGCTGAGTGATTTTTAATAACTTTTTATAAAATATATGTTTGTGAGCAAAAGTGGATATAAAAATTCCATTTGAAAATATTTTTATATATATTTTATGAAAAAAAAATTGTTTCTCGAAAATGAGGAAAGTTTGAGTATTGATTGGTTTTTGAGGTAGGTGCGGTTTGTCTGGTGCATTTTGGAAGATGTTGTAAGTTTGGAAGAATTTTTGATTATTTTCTAAATGATGGTAGGAGGAAGTTGAGAAGATTAAAATGCATCCCATACCCCAATCCCATTCCTAAGGTGTCTAAAACTTAGTTTTTTATTTATTTCATGCTTCATCATATTTATGCACATGCTAACGATGCAAAAAAAAGCAGTATAAATAATAATAATAATTTTTCTGTGATGCTAAAACATGCATAAAATGTTTATGAAATAAGAAAAAAAAATCCAGTTGCTGCTTTTCTCTTTTTCAGCGAAAAAAACTAGCACACAAAATTGCACACGATGGAAATAAAGAAGGACAATTTTTATGCTTTGTTGTTTCGTTCCGATGACATCTAAAAAACTAATAATATAGGAACATGTGCTTGCAATAATTATGATGACAAACATTGATAACTGTGCTGTGCATATTTTATGTCATGACTCGCAGAATTCTTTACCATTGTTGTGTCATATTTATTATTATTTTTGTGATCCTTTCTTGTTTTGCTGAGTGGCGCAATGAACATGAAATATTGTTGGATGTTTGAATGCAGTTTGGTGTCTTATTGGTATGCTTATTATTGGATTTAAGATTTGTTGAATTTACTGAAGAGTTTTGAGGGGTGAAGCTTGGTATTGACTGCCATTTTAATTTACTTGTCAGCAGTTATTTAGCAGCAAGAACCACAAACTAGAAGTTGTGGAAAAAGTACAAATGGATAGTTTCGAACGGGCATCTAAAACTTACCAGTTTTCCAAGAGAATTCCGAAATTGTCTGTTCGAAATTATTCACTTGTACTTCTTTTACACACTAGAAGTGCCAGTTCCTGGTTCTTTCTGATTGCTGCTACTCAAGTCAATGAAAAAATGTTTATAATTCCCATACTTTATTAAATAGTTGATCTGCTGCTATGGCATGGGCAACAAGATAATGTTTTTAAATCAAAAAGATACAGGTTCGATTCCAGAAAAAAACAGTGCCAAACGAGAGAGGTTTCTGGTCCTTAGCTGCATGTAATAATTCTTTAAAGTCTAATTCTCATCCCTGACCTGCTAAAATTCCATACTTCCCTGCCCCAATACCAAATGAACCTTCGATTCAGGGGCGTAGCCAGAAAATTTTTAAGGGGGGGGGGGGGGGGTGCATTTTCAAAAATTAAAAAACCGTTATTTTGTATCCTTAAATCTATATTCATTCTTCATAAGTTTAAATATTTAATTCATTATTCATACATTAAATTTAATTTTTCGTGCTCATTTTGACATTTCTTTCATTACTTCCTCTACATTAACTGGTTCTTCTCTATAAATACTTAATAAAACAATTATCAGATTTTCGTAGGGGGGGTGAGCCCGGGCCCCCTATGCCCCCCCCCCCCTGGCTACGCCCGTGCTTCGATTCATCAACAATTCATGCTTTACTCCACATTCCCACATTGACTTTATTTAATAAAACAATTCCAATTTATTGAACACAAAGCCATTTTTGCCATATAAATAATTTACAACCACATCAAGTGCGCCTTAACAAATTCACATAATAATGCAACAATTTCGTCACTTCTTTTTGCTTTCTATATTTTTATTATTATTGGTATTATTACAGTTTATTGTATTGCCGTCATTTCATAAGCGAAGGACATGAAAAATCGATAAAGTCATAAATTAAAGATGCTGTCAGCAGAAAATGCCTTCTAAGATTCATAATAGCTTATATTTCTCGTTATAAATGTCGTCGCAGCTGGCTCCTCCGATGGAATGCTGATTTGGAATTGTAACAGTACAACCAAATAAGTCACCATTGTCGCAAGAAGCTTTTTTTTTATTGTGTACGAGGTCCAATGTTTTGTGATGAGGATTAATGAAGTAAGTTTTTATGAAGGCATAGGAAAATAGAATTTAATTAAAAATTGGAACTTCAAAGCAGTCACCAAACTTCTCACAATCAAGTGACAATGACACTTACAGACTTAAAGAGGGTTCGATTTACATCAAAAAATCCACCCAAATTGATGTTGGCTTGATTCATTTCAGTCGCTCTTAAGAACATGTTGATTTCCACTTGTGCATCAGAGTTCATCCTGAAAAGATTTTTTTTTATGGGTGGAGAAGAAGAATGAAAAGCTTTCAGACATGTCTTAAGAGATTACGGCATTTTACTATCTTTACTATCTATAGATAAATATTGAGTGAGGCATTAGGAGTTGTTGAAGGCATTTGAAGCTTTATTTCAGATGATCATAATAGTCCTAGGCCAACAATGCATTTAGATCTTGAAGAACTAAAATTATAGCAACTTTGAACAATTTTGACCCAAACATCCTGGTCCTGAACCCATATTTGGGACAAAATAATGCTTTCAGGCATTGATTCTCAAAAAATGACTAACACCGAGCGACATTCAACAGCATTATTGCAGCCATTCGTCGTTCACAAGGCAGTGCCTATTGCAAAAAAAAACATTAGTTTTTGTGGCAGTCGTATGGTAACCACAAGACAATGTAGTATAAAGCAGTGCCTTGAAATCGACTTGTTCAAGACAAGGCAGTTTGGAAGCAAACACACAACTGCCATCGCCACAAATTGTCGCTCGGGAACGGCACCATAAAAAGTTGCCGAGAAACCTAAAAAAGTCAGAGTTTGTTC